GTTTAACAATAGGATATGAGATGGAACAGTCTGCATGTTCAATGACAAAAGAGAAATTACAACTAACTATATTTTTATCCAAATTTGCTTCCAAACAAATTGCTAGGATCAGACCACTCTCGAATTTTTGCTTTCCCCTGATTTACTACTTCTGGACCAGTTTCTCCTCTTACACAATCACAACTCTTCCCCCTTAAGTTCAGGTTATTAACTCTGAAAAACAATCCTGAATTAGAAGAGGAGGCAGATCCCCTAAGCTAGAGAACAAGGGGAAGATATTGAGGGGAAAAGCCCAGGAAGTGTACAAAGGAAGAAAACTCTGCAGGTGCCTGGATAACAATCCAAGATGTTAAATAAAGGAAAGGGGTCTGAGCAAGAGACACATTCCTGAAAATGGTCCAAAGCCAGGGAACATGCGGGCTCAGGTAGCGTTTGCTATTTTCATCATAATAGGAGTCCTTTCCCAACCTCAAATTCCAGTTTAATGTAATAAAAAGGAATATCTACAGCATGTGATGAAATAAAAACAACTAAAAAGAAATGAGGGTAACGAAGCAATTTCTGATAAGAGGAGAAGATAGGAAGAGCTAACACTGCAAATAAGGTAGGCAGAGAGAGGAAAGAGCTAACACCAGGGATACTGGGTTACTGCGGAAAAGCATCTTAGATGGGAGCATCAGAGCATCTGGGAGCAGCTGAGGACAGGAGCAGCTGGAAGCTATGGAGCAGCCAGAAGCAAAACAAAACTAACAAGAGGCAAACAACAGGGCAATAAGCTTCTGAGGAGAAAGAGCCACTGAGGAGATGTGAATGGGGATAGAAAAAAAGTGGGAGGGATTTTAAGGGTCTGGGAAGGGCTGAAGTATACAATGAGCTTAAAGTCTGATGCATGCAGTAGAGAGTGAAGGCAGTTAAGGGAGTGGAGCAACTGGAGAGAGGAAAGCTCCTATGAAGGTAGAAGCCATTAAACACAAGCCCTGTGCAAGGCAGTTGTGACGCCAACTACCTGGAGTTAGGTCAGATGTCAGAGGCCCCACTGGGCTGCCCTCACTTCAGATGCCGGCTGCAAGCTCGGGGGTCCCCAGGCTACATGCACTTCAGACCAACTGGCTACAAGGTTAGGGGTTTGCATGGCCCTCTCAGGTTTGCTGATCCTCTAGAACGACTCAGAATCCAGCAAAGCAGGATACTTAGAGTTACAGTTTTATTTCAGCAAAAAGGACACAAACCAGCACCAGTTAAAAAAAAAAAAGAGATGCATAATGTGAGGTCTGGGAGGTCCCAGATGCAAAGTTTCCATGTCCTCAGGATGTGCCATCCTCTCGGCATAGCCACATGCATCACCAGCCAGGGAGCTCACCTGGGTTTCAGCGTCCAGAGTTTGTACTGGGGGTTACTATGTGGGCACGATGATTCCGTCACTGGCCATGAGGTTGAACTCCATCTCCAGCCCCCTCTCCTTCCTGGAGGTGGGACTGATACTATGGGGCTCAAAGTCACAACCCTCTAATCACGTGGTTGGTCTTTCTGCTGCCCCCACGCCAAGTCGCCTGGTCAGCATAAACTCATGTGGGGTCTGAGGGCCCACCGTGAGTCACAGACACTCCTATAATCCAGGAAATGGCAAGGATTTAGAGGTTCCCTCCAGGACCCAGAGACGAAGGCCAGCCACAGTCTTCTTTCTACAACACACTGACCATGGTCGGGAGCTCTGTCAGAACTCAGAGAGTCAGGGCAGGTAACAGGCGTAGGTATACGAATGTTTTAGGACAGCTCTATGACAAGGGAGACAGAGAAGCGGAAGAAAGGAGGAATGAAATGAAGGGGTGCACACAGGCGACTGCAGCAGCTTAGGGGGCTGAGGAACGTGGAAGATGAGTGGCTGTAAGCCTTAGGAGCAGCTGGTGGCAGGTGAGCCACCAGGTTAATTCAGAGAAATTTATTTTCTTACTGTTCTGGAGGCTGGAAGTCCAAGACCAAAATGCCATCACAGTTGGTTTCTGGTGAGACCTCGCTTCCTAGTTCATAGATGCCTGGCTTCTTGGCATGTCCTCATGTGGCCTTTCCTCTGTGCAAAAATGGAGAGACAGATAGAGAGCTCTAGTTTCTTTCCCTCTTCTGAGAACAACACCAGTCCCATCAGATCAGAGCCTCAGCCTTATGACCTCATTTACCTTAATTACCTCCTTAAAGGCCCTGTCTCCAAATACAGTCACATTGAGGGCTAGTGCTTCGACATATGAATTTGAGGGGCATACAATTTAATCTATACATACAATTTAATCTATAACACTTACTAATGGTCAGGCATATGCAAATTAAAACCACAGCGACAGGCTATTCTTTTCCTAACATTTAATGCGTTTGACGATATTCAATGTCACGGGAAAGCATGGGGAAGCGGGCACTCTCCTGCTCTGCTGACAAGTGGAGTGCATGCAGTAATGCACGGGATAAAGTGATGAAACAGAGTCTCCAAAATCGGCAGTCTACATGAAACGGACGCTTTTTCCCATCTCCTGTGATAGTGCAATGATGAGAGGAAAGTATTATTAATTCTCTCGTGAAGCCAACCAGGGATGATGGTTGATGGCTTGGCTCTGCCAACATTGATATGTGACTCCTACTTCTGGGTCCAAGATGGCTGTTGTAACTGTCACTGTTTTTTTTTTTTTTTTTTTTGAGACAGGGTCTCTGTCACCCTGGCTGGAGGGCTGGAGTGCAGTGGTACAATCATAGGTCACCTTAGCCTCAAACTCCTGGGCTCAAGCAGTCATCCTGCCTCAGCTTCCTGAATAGGTCGGACTATAGGCACAGACCACCATGCCTGGCTAATTTTTAAAAATTTTCTGTAGAGACAGGGGTTTCACTAAGCTGAACAGGCTGGTCTTGAATTCCTGGCCTCAAGCGGTCCTCCCCGCCTCAGTTTACTAAAGTGCTGGGATTACAGGCGT